AATAGAATAGAATAGAATAGAATAGAATAGAATAGAATAGAATAGAATAGAATAGAATAGAATTTTTTTTTTCAAAAGAAATCCAATTATTTATTAGGAGCAATATGTTGGCACTTTTCCCAAGTGGAGATAGCTCTGCCCCACATAATTTACTGTGCACCTATGACCCTGTTTCCCCGCTCCTCCCAGGGTGTGTCATAAATCACATTCTCCAATGAAGCACTTTCACAGGCTGCAGAAAACATGCGTCTCCTGCTGGGCTTGGTAACTTGGGACACAATCTGGAGAAAGGCATGCGTGGAATGTGCTTCTAGTCATAGCAGCAAACTGCTACATCAAATCTTCCCTGCTCCTTCTTATGGCAACTTGAGAGCAAGCCAGGAATGCTTTATGAGTTGACATAGTGCCTGGGAATTTGGGAGGGGGGATTACATAGAGAGGTGGAAGTTTAGACTCAACAACACTCTTTCTCAGAGAGTCAAGGACATGTTGCCCTGCACCTGGAGGGGAGTGACTGGGGGGGAATGTCTCCAGTTGGGATGAAGATTTGATTGGGCCTTGTGATGGACTGGTGGGTGCAGGGGATGGATCTTGGATTTCTCTTTTGGGAAGGGAAAACCCAGAACTCTCAGAGTCAGCTTTTCCCAGATGTGCGAATATGACAACTCTAATAAATTGGAACTTTGAGGAAATGTTTGTCTCGGGGTTTACTGGTTTGGAGTTGGTTAGTTGGAACGCTGATATTTATGGGATGCTGCAATTGTTGTATGAGCTGGTTGCCAAGTGCCTGGATTGCAATCACATGACCATGGGGTGCAGCAGCCATCAGAATTTTGAAGACCGGTCGTAAGTATTAATCATTCAATGCGGCCACAACTTCGAATGATCACCGAAGAAGCGGTTGTTAACCAAGGACTACCTGTATTTTACTCCTCCCTCCGTTTCTTAAAGTTTGCTGATGTAACTCACCACTTTCATGAGATAGACGTTAATTGAAAAATTTGGGTATTCCTGAAAGTTCCTGATGGTGGTTGTCTGAATGGATTCTCCCCCACACTCTATGATGAGGCTGGGATTGTTCACAACCATCAGATTGTAATTCTTCATGTCTCGGAGACCCCAGGCAAGAATCTATGGGGAGATAGGGCAAAACTGTCAGCTGAATCTTCCATCGATTGGGGTACAAGATCTCCCCCATCTCTCTCGGTTGGTGCCAGCTCTTAATAACTTCACGCACATCTGTATATATAGCTTTCTCTGCAGCAACATGGCAGTGGTTTTGCCAAGTTTCTCTCCTGAGATATAGAATACAGGGCATATAACTAATATGGTTGGAAGGTACCTTGGAGGTTTCCTGTTTCCTAGACTTGGGATTTCTGATGATTTCTGCTAGTGCATGATGTATCTCAAACCAGATCTAGCATATACACTCTCATGTAAACGCACTAGAGATTCCAGAAACACATATATTTTTATTTTGTTGATTTGTTGAATGAATACATTTTCCCTGTCTTGTTAAATACTGTAGGTCTACAGTAGCTTTCATTGTTTCCCCACTTTCTGAAGGCTCTCATTTCACTGGATTGCTGGTCCTGTCACCATCCCTCCATTCCCAAGATACCTGTGGGGAAATTTCTTGCCCACCAAGATGTCTGGAGCCACCTGAACTGGTTCACAAGCTCACCTCTACAGCCATCAGCCGCAAAATGGGCCGGATTCCTTTGGGGATTGTATAAACACCATCTTTCCAAGTAGGAGGTGGAAGTTTCCCCATGGATCCGTCCTAGAAGAAGAAAAAGTTAGACCTTTCTGAAGTTAGGTACCATGCAGTAGTGGGATCCTACCTTAGTCACTAGTTGCCTCTTGAAAAAATCACCTTTGGCACAACCACGGATGACCGAGAATCTCCATAGACATTTAGTAGCTTCTGACTTTTTTTTCTTCATTGCATTAAAATGCAAACAGAATTACAATTATTTTACATTTCTAAACCTTGCAAGACATTTCCATCACAACAAAGTCACTCTAACCATGCATACTGAAAAAAAATCAAAGTTTGATATATTTCTTCCCAATTATCTAGGCATCAACAGAAGGCCTCCGTGGAAGGCTGGAGGCTTCTTGTAATCCTTGACCTGGAAAAAAATCATTCAGTTTCACGATTACATCCATTTCCTCTTTTTAGAGAATTGCTCAGGTTTGCAGAGAAAAAAGACCAGTGGTAGGATTCTAATTTTTTTTACTACCGGTTCTGTGGACGTGGCTTGGTGGGCATGGCAGGAGAAGGATACTGCAAAATCCCCATTCCCTCCCCACCCCACAAACCTGCTTTCCAGCTCCGTTCTCCTGTGCAGGGCAACCAAAGAAGACCCAGCCGATCAGCTGGGACTCGGGAGGCAAAGAATAGATGGGGGTGAGGCCAGTCAGAGGCGGCATTGCTACTGGTTCTCCAGAACTGGTGAGAACCGGCTGAATACCACCTCTGGACCGATCCATCATTCCGTTTGACAGTGTGGTGTTGTGTACTTGTGACAGTACCTCCAGAGTCCTCAAAAACATGTAATGTGACTTTTTGTTGCTTTCTTTCTTTCTTTCTTTCACCTTCCTATCCAAGAGAAGCTCAAAAGCAGCCATGAGGTAACCATTCTCCTCTTCGTTTCTGGTGATCCGATGCTTCTGGAGACGGGGAATACTTCGTACATTCAGATCCAGGCACACCATTGGAATGCAGATGCACCTTCCCATAAAATCATTGGATCGGGCCTATCGGAAAGAAGTGAGGCAAAGCAGATAAGCTTGTGAACAATGTGGCCAAGAGCAAAGAAGACGTGTCTGGGTGCCGCGTAAGATAATGTAACGATCAGTCAGATGCTAAAGGCATTTCGGGGATGTTCTACCATATGTAGAGTTAGATCAGTTGTGGGATTCAAAAATTGTTACCACCGGTTTGGTGGGTGTGGCTTGGTGGGTGCGTGCAGGGGTGGGATTCAAATTTTTTAACAACCGGTTCTGTGGGTGTGGCTTAGGTGGTGGTCATGGCTTGGTGGTCATGTGACTGGCTGGGCGTGGTCAACTCAACATCACTCACATCGAGACACGCATCTCCTTGCCTGGCCTTCAAGATTGTGGGGATGCTGCAACAGTTTTAAGTGTGAAAAATGGTCATAAGTCACTTCTTTCAGTGCCATTGTAACTTTGAATGGTCACTCCACACAAGCAAAGTACCAGCAAAGGAGGGGAAAGTCCTCCAGAGAAGTTCCAGAGACAGGAAGTCTAGTCCTGCCAAGAATGTAATAAGGGTTAATGGAGAGGCAGTTTCTGTAAGCAACACCAGAATGTTTCCTTCCTGCCTTCCTTACAGGATTAGCCCAGTAATTTCTTCTAACAACCAGTTCTCCAGTGGGTGGGCCCAACAGCAGAGCAGCGGAGAGAACCAGTTTGGTCTCCGCTGCTCATTGGCACTACCAACCTGGCAGAATCAGGCCGAACCAGTAGAATACCACCACTGAGTTAGATGTTCTATGTAGAGTTAGAGGTCTATGTATCATCTGTGAAGCACATCTTGAAATGACAAGAACCAGTGGGGTGCAGTGGTAAGATTCAAATATTTTTTACTACCGGTTCTGTGGGCATAGCTTGTTGGACGTGGTGTGGCTTAGTGGGCAGACTTCGTGGGTGTGGTAGGGGAAGGATACTGCAAAATCCCATTTCCTCTCCTAACCTGCTTTCTAGCTCTGTTCTCCTGTGCAGGGCAACAAAAGAAGGCCCAGACGATCAACTGGGACTCAGGAGGCAGAGAATAGATCGGGGCGGGGCCAGTCAGAGCTTGTATTTGCTGGCTCTCCGAACTAATCAAAATTTCCACTACTGCTGAATACCACCTCTGGTGCAGTGGTGAAGATTTTGAAACTTCTCGTGAACCACTGAAATGTCCCCCCTACGTACGCCTGAATCATAGTCAAATATCTCCACGGCCACAATGGGGGGATCCTGAGCCGTCCCTTGAGGATCTCCATAAATCAAAATGTCTTCAAAGAGGAGGGTCTCGTCCCAGCATGGATGCAACGTGCCGCTGATAACGTGGGTGCAGTGGCTCAAATGAAGGAAAGAGACGTGAGCCACAGGATCTGTCAGAGATACAAAACCTCACTTCACTTTGCTTATTTAATTTGTATCCTGCCATCATCATCATTATTATTATTATTATTATTATTATTATTATTATTATTATTATTATACACAAAAATGACAGTATACACAGCAAATGAGATAACTATGCTGGGTTTCGTATCACAAATCACTAGTCGAACACTTCCCAAGTGTTTAGGACTGTGTGATGTATCGGCGGATTATGTGAGCAGATCCAAGTATTATTATTATTATTATTATTATTATTATTATTATTATTATTATTATTATTATTATCATTATCATTATTACTATTATTATTATTATTATTATTATTATTATTATTATTATTATTATTA